TCCCCACTGCCCCCCCACTACATGGAGGGCTCTGTACAAGCCCCCTGTACCTCCCCTGCTCCCTCATGGCTGCCTCGCCTGCTGGGGCTCTGGCCCTTTAAGAAAAAAAAAAGCGGAGAAAAGCCCCAGGACTCCCCGCTCCTGCAGCAGCCTTGGGGCTTCAGGGGCTCATGCACAGCCCCCCACATGGCACGGGGATCGCCCCCACTGGCAGGAGTGGTGAGTCCCGGGATTTCTTCAGGTTTTTTTTTTCTTAAAGGGCCAGAGCTGGCCCGTGCGGGGCACCCGTGGGGGGGTTGGGGGAGCGAGGGGGAGTTCGGGGGCTCGTGCAGAGCCCCTCCGTGCAGCATGGGGCAGTGGGGGGCAGCAGGGATCGCCCCCTGCCCAGCAGCACCTGCTGAGCCAGTGCAAATCAGATTCGGCTGAATCGAATCGGGACAGGGATTCAAATCACCAAATCATATCACTGTCCCCCCGAATCGGCGGAATCTGTATCTGAAGCAAATACCAGCCGCTTCGCACAGGCCTAGTAATCATTAATTCAGTCCCCTATGTAAGAACTGTGTTCTCTGAATGAGCACATCTTCACTACACAGTGAACGTAGGCTCATTGTTTTATGATGTTGTTAAAAGCCTTCTAACTCACTAACACAACACCCTCTTACCCAAGTTTAGCAGTGCGTTAAACTGAGGCCAGTCAGCCCCCACCCAAGGATAGACTAGGGCTCAAGTGTTACTTTGCTCTGGCTGGTAACCTCCCACCTATGACATTGAGGTCATGTCAGCACAGCCTCCCAAAAGCACCTGGGCACACTACTGAGAAATAAGCCCTGCCCACTAGTGACAGCCCTACCTGTGCCCAAGCTTGCAAACATGTAGATGGCTCTCAGCAGCCCTGAGTGTGTACCCCAAGACAGAGCCCAAACACAAGCACAGGCTGGCAGGATTTGTCCTCAGCAGCCTGCCCAGGCTCTCTCGGGAAGAATACCAAGACACAGTCTGAAAATGACTTCCAAATTCCATCTCATTTCCAACACTCCCTTGCTATGCCCTGGAAAGAGAATTTCTCCCACAATTCACTGAGAAAGCATCAGAGGGGCTCAGCTGAGAATGCTTTTCCCATAAATCCTAGTGACACCTGAAAGCAAGTACAGTGCTAGCCAGGACACAATAACTCAAGACATGTTTGAAGTGCAGCCATTTAAGTCTGCACATGGCTAACCCAGGGGTGCCTGCAATGAAGACATATTCAAAATCTCCACCCATACTCTCTCAGGATAGGCTTCACAAGGTAGAAAGAGTTTTACAGAGAAAACAAGGAGCAAGGCAGCATGGTGACAGGTGCTGAGCAGGTTCATCAGATTCCCATATAAGCTCTTAAAACTCGTCATTTCCTCCAGCTGGTTTTTGATTAAGTTTTAAAATGTAAAATCATCATGAGTATACACTACCTTCCACCACCTGCATCTGGGCATAAGCCATGTATCACTCATCTTGCAAACAATGGGCATTGCAATTCATGACTGCTTAAAGCTGAATGAAATTACGGCATAATGAAGCAATAACTGGCTGCTGGAATTTGCATATAAAACATCAGGTCTGTCTAAGTGCATACACAAAATACTTTTCTGGGAGCCATTTTGCATATGATATGGGTGACAAAGAGCTCATTCTGAGATCTGGTTATTCTAGAATATCAGCTGTTTACACCTGAAATATAAGCCCAAAGGTCAGACCAAAAGTATGCTAGGTTCTGAATTCCAAGGAATAAAAGCCCCAATGTAACAAACAGGACATATAGTTGAGGAAACTAGTTACCTGTAGTGGAACTGACACACATCTCCCACAATAATAATTCTTGCATTAATGTAAACCTCAGGACCTATATATAGTTTCTGCCTCATGCTTGTGTCACAAGGCCATACCATACCTGCGTTATAAGAGCATGGTGAGATCTCCATCAACTTGAAGATCATTAGCTTCAGCAGTGGACTTACAACACCTTATCCAAACCTTCCAAGAAGCCATCGCCAGCAGCTCTCCTTTTCACAAGGAGGAAATAGGTATGTGAACAATTCGTTTTTTAAAAGTGGATTCCTCAACTCTGCAAGAAGAAAGGTGGGAGAGCGATGTCTGGAGTGATATACACCCCTCAACTGTTTGGGGGGAATTCTCTCTGTCTGGACACTCCCATGACCAATTTCCCACTTCTGGAACTCAAACAGGAAGTATGAACATGCACTGACCACCAACATGCATTTTATAGCTGGGGGAGAAACAGAGAAAGCAACCAAGACAAATTTAAGGTTACAAAATGGTTTTACTGCTTTCTAGACTGAAATTTCCCTTATAATGCCTCCACACAAAATTAGAGATGTGGATTTTTTGGTTTTGGTTGTTTTGTGGGGTGGTTTGTTTTGGTTTTTTTGTGGGGGGGGGGAAGGGGCTTAAGTTGTTGAGTTACAACAGGTAAAAAAAGGTGCAGCAATAAAAAGCTTGGCTATACAATATTTGAAGAAGAATTAAGCAAAAGCCATTGAGTTCAAAAGCTCCAAACCCGTCTCACTGACGTTTAATACATGACCTTGGTTTAGAAAATGGATCTTAATTTGATGGCATTGGGATCTTTTTAAAACTGCACACTGAGCATATGTTTTAGTGTTGCCTATGCTCTCCCCACAGCCCAAGGAAACACGTGCTTCACAGTGCAAGAGCTCTGGCCCCAGGAACATAAAATCATAGAAAATGAGGGTTGGAAGGGACGTGATGTCATCTAGTCTAGCCCCCTGCTCAAAGCAGAACCATCCCCACCTATATAATCCCAGGCAAGGCTTTGTCTAGCCGGGTTTTAAAAACCTCCAAGGGTAGAGATTCCACCACCTCTCTAGGTTACCTGATCCAGGGTTTCACCACACTCCTAGTGAGAAAGTTTTTCCTAATATCCAACCTAAACTTCCCTTGCTGCAACTTGAGCCAATTGCTCCTTGTTCTGTCATCTGCCACCACTGAGAACTGTCCAGCTCCATCCTCTTTGGAACCACCCTGAAGGGAGTTCAAGTTAAATCTCCTCAGTCTTCTCTTCTCCAGACTAAATAAGCCCAATTCCCTCAGCCTTTCCTAACAGGTCATGTCCCCCAGCCCCTGAACCAGGTTCACTGCCCTCCACTGGACTCTCTCCAATTTATCCACATCTTTACTGTAGTGGCCAGCCCAAAACTGCACACAGTTCTCCAGATGTGGCCTCACCAGTGCTGACTAGAGGGAAACAATCACGTTCTTTCATCTGCTGACAACACACCTACCGACGCAGCCCAGTACGTTGTTAGCCTTCTTGGCAACAAGGGCACACTGCTGGTTGATATTCAGCATCTTGTCCACTGTAACCCACAGGCCCTTTTCTGCAGAGCTGCTGCCCAGCCAGTCAGCCCCCAACCTGCATGCCACTGCTCCGTCCTACGTTCAGGACCTTGTATTTGTCCTTATCGAACTTCACGAGTTCTGTTTTGGTCCAAGCCTCCAGTCTGTCTCACTGAATCCTAGCCCTAACCTTCAGCATATCTACAACTCCCCCAGCTTGGTGTCATTTTGCAAGCTTGCTGAGGGTGCGCTCCATCCTGTCTTCCAGACTGCTGATGGACACCTCCAAACCAGCCAGAGATTTCAGGGGGAAGTCTCATAAAAAAATTCCTCCCTTTTATATAGAAGTCCCCACTGGGAACAAGCAGGAGGCCAAGAATAAGAATAATACTACAAGTTGTATTTTGACTTTTTCCTCTTAAGAGACTCTGCACTGAAGCACCCACCACCCCTGACACAGGCAAATATCATTGCCACATCTACCAGTTAAGTGATCTGCCTAAGATCATGCAAACAGACCATGACAGAAGAGGCAGGAGGCCCCGCCTGTTAATTCCTAATCCACTATAATACAGTGCTTGTTGAAACAATTCCTTCTCTCCTCCCAGCTTCAGAGCTGTTGTTTGCAATATTTATGTAAATCTCTGCTCTGACCTCACTTTAAACACAATATTCAGATTTCAAAAGGAATACCAAAGAAGCAGAAAAGTGCTACAAAAAGTGACGGAAACAATTCAAAACATGAAGGTGGTGACTGTTTGAAAGAAAATAGATGATAAGAAGCCTTGGAGAAGTCATTTGCTGTTGAGTGACAGCCAACTTAAAGACACTGACTGATAGAGAATCTACCCAGCTTTTAATAACCTGTGAATAAGTAACTGTACTCAGTATTCAAAATGACTATAAGCAGCACATTAAAGCTTGCAGGCTTCAATTTTTGTGCTTTTTTCCTTGAAACGCCTTTGCCTGCCAGACTGAAGGAGCCCTCTAGCATCTGATACCTTCTACAAGATAATGTAGATGATCAAGTTTCTCTCTAAAGAAAAGAAGAGACGAGAGAGGAACTGAGCTGTGAAGCCCTTCACTTTGAGGCAGGCTTCTCTAGACCTCAGTATATTCCAGTAGCTCTTTTGTACCTCTTCCACTGCTGGGGCATTTACTTTACAGTATGAATACTGGGCCTGAACACAGCTTGGCAGTAATCATCCCAACAGTGTTGTGCAAATAAATATTGCTCCTCCTGCTCAGTATTATACACCCAGCAGTTGCATTGGGAGTTCAGCTGCTGACCCCAAGAACTTTTCAGGGTCACCACTTTTTGGTATACCATTCCCCAGGCTGCATCACATGGCCAGCTGCCTTCCTTAAATTTAGCTAGAAAATCCATCCAACCGTGCCCAGCCTACCAGGTGCTCTGCATGGCTCTCTCATCTTCCAACAATTTTCATATTAGAAAAAAAAAAGGCATGTTGATACAGTGGCACGATGAGAATTTCTCTGAGACCTTTACTCGCCAATTCCTTGTTAATCATTCTGGTTTAGATCCATCAGTCAGTTTTTCTTAATCAAAGTACTAGGCAGTACTCTATGAAAACATAAGTGTAAATGTATGAGAACTGGCTAAGTTAACTGTCAGCCGGGCACGCAACCTTGTCATTGAACTAAGTTAGACAATGTCTAGTCCATATTACTATTATAATTACAATGTTGGAAGCTTTAATAATCAGGCCTCTGTTCTGCCATTATTTTGCCCCGAATTGGTGTCAACCTCATTGGCCTCCAGTTGCACCTTTGACCTCTTAAAATATTCGTTCAACGCTGACTTTCTTT